CTGTACGGACAAAATAAAAAACCTTAAATAAAAAGAACACTCACAATGAAAACGACAGTGGCATTTGCTACAAGCTTCAACTTTTTTTTTTTTCAATTGACTGCGAATGTAACCACCGACAGACCAGATGAATGCTTATGACATTGATGTCGTAATTACAATGCAACACCTTGTGAGGAAACCTTGAACTAATGCATTGATGGTAATGGTAATTTGACACAAGATTTCCCAACAAGTATCTATGGTCGACGTATAACTTTGGCCTCAAGAGAGAAATAATAAAAAGAAAAACATCAAGAATAATAAAGCATCAGTGTTCTGTGTTTACAGATACTGATATTTTATAGAACAATCATGTTCTATAAAATGTCTGTCTGCCAGTAAATGTCTATATGAAGGACTTAAAAAATGTTGACTTTGTAATTTAATGCCTTGAAATTGGGCCTCCGTCTCTTTAAAAACTCCTGCTCTTTCTGAATCTCCGCCTTCATGAAGTCATCACAACATGGCTCCTCTATTAACCCTTTAACAACATTTTTTCAGCGTTTTACCGTGAAGTAACTTGTATAATGAGCTCAGCTGATGTGCAGTTCCACCACGTGGTTAGCTAACTGCTGGTGGCTAGTCTGAAGGAGCCAAGCAGGGCAGTTGAAGGGGAAGGCCTCTCAGTCAGAATAAAGCCTGGGAACTGCAGCTCCTAGCAGGAGCTTTGTCCTTGAAGCCGGAGCTAAGTCCCCCCAGGTGTTTTGCACAGCCGACTGGTTGCCACAGGGAAATTAAAGGATTTCTCAAACATGCATGAAAGAATCAAAGCAATACTCCAGGAAAGTTTTTGGTGAGTGAATAACATGATATGATGTAAAGCTCAAAAAAAGTTGATTTTACCTAATAATGTTCCTTTAAAAACCTAACAGTGTTGAACAGATATGCACCTGAATCTGGAATGGAGTTTCAAAACAAGATTAGAAATCCATTTGCCTTCTACGCAAGAACTTACAGTTTGGGTTTGAGCTCATTTATTATTTCCCAACGAACATGATCTCAGGCATATGACATTATTGATAGAAATAAAACTCAAATCTTAAGAAAACATAAAATATAATGAATGATCTATAAACAAGAGCTGTACAATGTACCCTAAAATCTATATAATTGGTATAGATTGGAGTGAGACAGGCTAAATATTGCATTTTTTCATTACTGTGTTGATGCAAACGTGTCATATTCTAAATCTGTTCTACACTGGGACAAACGCAATACATTTAGCAACTTTTTTTTCGCATAAACTACAACATAGAACCCTAAGAAAATGATAATCACAGGCGACAGTCATAGGCTTAAAATAAATTCAGTGGAATCTGAAAGGAAACTTTGCTGAGCGATCTACATTATTTGCATTTTGTATCCTAAAGATTGGCATGACACAGGCTGGAAGACATCAGAGCAAAAATTTTATTAAAAGCTGTAAAAGAAAATTGTATCTAAGCCAAAAACACTGAATCACAAAGCTGACACTGCGATATAGTTCTGGTACAAGCTGAGTACTGACATATTAGAACACCATCCAAAAGGGAACGATAAGAACAGCAGCTTATGAAAACATGATATTTTTTGTTCCAAAAATAAGTCAGTCTTCTGAGCTCCGTGCGTGTGTGTGTGTGTGTGTGTGTGTGTGTGTGTGTGTGTGTGTGCGTGCGTGCGTGTGTGCGTGCGTGTGTGTGTGCGTGTGTGTGTGTGTGTGTGTGCGTGCGTGTGTGTGTGTTAAAGACCATCACTAAACATTGTTAAGAGTGTTTTTCATTGCTTTTATTTTTATTTTTGTTAATATATGCTAGGCTGGCACAAATCAATATAGTATCAAATATATTTTCCAAATTTTTTGTTTTTCTTTACTTCACAGCTCATATAAACCAATGTTACTAGACGGTCAGTATTAGATTCTATCATGTGTTGTTCATCTGTTCCCAATTTTTAACAGTGTGAGACTCAAGAGGAGTTCAAAGGATGAAAAAGAAACATATGGACACTAAGTGGAACAAAGAGGACCAAGGGTGATAAGGTGAGTTATGCCCTTTGAGTTCAGAGAACGAATAAGCACAGATAAAAATAAATAAATAAATCTGCATCAGCTGGATGTAGCAAACCTACCACTGCCAACAGTAAATGCTTTAAAAAATAAATAAATACAATGATGTAATCCTTTTGGCATACAATTCCTATATTTCTACTGATGACAAGAAGGATCACTTATTACATGTATTGGTGAAAAATATTTATCGTTTTTCAGGTTCAGGCTGGTAGATGAAAAACCAAGCATTAGTAGAAGTCCAAACATATATGGAGCACTGCGTGGGAGCAGAAACTGAAAATAGGAACGCTATAAAGAAAGAAAATACCAGTCGGGCCCAGGGTTTTTGTTTTTGGAAAGGGAAATCTACTGGACACAGAAAAAAATATAGAAATATAAGAATAAGCCTCACCAAGTTATGTAGAACTGTCGGGTAAAATGACAATCTGCAAGGAGAGCTCCTGGTGCTTTTTTTTTTTTCAAAATATATTTTTGGAATAATTACCTCTCAGTTTGTCAGGGCATAAGTACCTGTATAAGTTAAAACCTAAATCGGAGACAAGTATTTTACATTTCTTGGAGATTTGTCATATAACAGTAAAATGTGCAATTATTTTTAAATGTGTGAACAAGAAGCAAGCAAGCGAGCAATGGGCAGCCAGCTTGCCACTTGTTGCAAGCAGCAAGCTAGCTGCTTGCAACCTGAAAGTGACTGCTGAGGAATTAACCCTTTAATCGCAGAATAAGTTCAAATTAGCTCGATCATTTCCATTCTGGAATATTTTTGAATGGTTTTGGTTGTGTGTAGTTTTTATTTTTGTTTAATTTATTGTTTTGTGCTTGTGTTTTATTTTGGATATTTAAAATATCTTCTAGTTTCAGTGTTAAGTGTTCTTTAGAAAATTTAAGTTGGTTAGAATTTGAGTGGTCAAATTTGCATTACTCTGCCATTCTCTATATACTTGCTTGAAAATGGCACAGTAAACTAGGCAAAGTAATGCAGAGAGCAGAAAAAAAGACCTCTAACCAAACTATATCTACTATCATGTCAAAACACGTTTGATGAATTTTATTTATCTTCTTTTTTGGAAATTACATTTTCTTGAATACATTTTAGAATTCAGTCTGGCAATTCAACTTCTTTCCTCCATACTCTATTTTCCACACCTATTGAAAGGGGAAAAATGCAAAGAGGAGACTGCATTCACAGGTGGTGCGCTTAGAAACCTTCCTGTATGGACAGTGATGAGAAAAGAAAATCTGAGTTGGGGCACTAGCAGCTTCAGAGTGAGTGCAGTTCTCCAAAACTGTCAATAACACACCAGCACAATTCCTATGGGAGTGCCATCACTCTAAAGATCAAAAAAGGGCCAACATGTTCCATTTACAAATTCAGTGTTAACTGACACCAAAGCACACAGGACATGAAGTGCATGTGAAAAGCATTTTGCTTCAGTTTAGTGACCCAGAAGAGGGAGCAGAGCACAAGTAAAAAAAAATGTTTCTGTAAAATTACAGCAACATGGAGCTTAAACCATCTTCAAAAGAAGCCACCCTCAATGCACTTTTTGCTAGTAAAACACACACACACACACACACACACACACACACACACATATATATATATATATTTTTTTTTTTTTTTTTTTTTTTTTTTTTTTTTTTTTTGGAATATGGCTTAGAGATGCTACATTTCCTATTTGGTTTGGTGGATTATTTGTCCTGAGGCAGTTTCCAGAAATTCTCATCTTACTGTCAGTGGAGGCAAAGGTAACCTTTTTTTTTTTTGACAAAAAAAAGACATCTTGCAGGTGGAAATTTGCGCAGTGGCAGTTATCAAAGTCAGTTAAGTCAAAACACACTCATATATGGCTTCTAACATTTTTACCTTAAACTGGCTTTCTGTTTCAAATGCCAAGTCCAATGTAAACTAAATATCTCCTACCTCTGAGCAGCAATACAAAACTGGTTATATTTATGAAATAATAATGAGTTAGAGGTGAAATATTCCATGCGACTCGACAGATTAGCAGAAAATGTGGGAATTTCTAAGTTTTGTCTCTTCTAAGTAATACATTTATGTAACACTACAGAGAAAAGCCCAAAACAGATAAAAATAAATAAATAAATAATCTGAAGTTTCCTTGGTGCTCACTTTGTTTCTAAAGTCTTTTGCACCAAGTCATATCTCCATAAGAGTCATAAAACTGCAAAACTGCTGAAACACTGAGTCCTTTTAAATCAAGGCAATCATTAGTTTATGTAATGATGGTACTTGCCAAAATGTAATATCTGTTATTAGTTTTCACAACTGTTAACTATCTAATATATGATGTTTTTTATGGTTTTTACAATACAGAGCTCTTTGAACACCCGTGTTATTGATAATGGGCTATGCGAATAAAAATCATTGATTGAATGAAATGACAAAAATTTTATTTATCCCATTAGATGAGTGCCATGTAGTCTGCCTAAAATATAGAACTGTTTTTTAAAATGCTTTCCTTTTCAAATCACCACTCTGAACATCTAAACATCTAAAAATCCCAAACTTGTTTTGGTGCTTTAAATTATTAAAATAAAAATAAGCACAAATATTTTCACTTTTAAAACATCGTTTGTTCAAAGGGGCTCCACTTACCGATTCATTTTTTTTAAAGCATTGTTGAAATTAGGCAATTTTCAGTGGTAGAATCAAATTTCTTCAAAGTAAATCACATCCAGACACATAAGTGTAAAACATATTTTTCATACGGTGGGACCGCCAAAATCTGTTTTTGCCATGCTGCAAAGGATCGTCTAAACCTGCTTTTTTTTCCTATTGAACATTTGCAAAACTTTCATCTCGAAAGTAAATATTAAGCCTTGGTGAATCGAAAGTGTAAACAGAAATTAAAATGAACAAATTTTCTAAAGGAAGATTAAGAGTCACCTCTCTTCACTTTTGCTTGTCTCACCCTCCAAACGGTCTTGTGGATCTCAAAGTTGTAATTTGATGGCAGGACTTTGATGGCTTCCTGCAGCTCAGGGTCTTGGAGGATTTCATCTGGAATTTGATTGGCTACCCGTCGAGGGCCCCGCACTGCAGAGGCAAGGTGATTGTTGACATGTTATCAATTTGAGAAAACAAACCGGGTGAATCATACAAAATGACCAACAGCAGAACATCAACAACCGGTGGGTGGGAGGAACAGATTACAGACAAGGAACCGTATGTCAGATTAGATTTCCACAAAAAACTGATGGGTTTAAAATCCATTGCAATCAGAGAAGAATTGAAAAAAGCCCTAATACTTAGGGATGTAATTTCAGTGACAACATCAATGTATAAATGAAAAATCTAAATTGAAATCTGCCACCTGAAACATCTCTTCCAGTTCACATTGGGCTTTATTGTACAATTTTACATTTCCACAGAGCAAAAGCATTATTTCAGTTTATGCATTGTATTTTTTTCAAAGATGGAGAATGTATTATTGTTTGAATCAGAAACTAAAATCTAAAATAATTATTTCCAGACTGTTAATGAAAATAATATAGTCATTCATCAGGTTTTTTCTTAAAAAAAGAAAAAAGATCTAAAATAAAATCTGCACCCTTTAGTGGAGTTAGAGGGGGGATAGGTATTAATACATTTCTATTAAATGGAAAACAAGATTTTTTAAATGTTTGAAAAGATCATCTCTATCATACAGTTTGAAATAAGAAAGAGAAGGGGTATGGAGTTGCAGAAATCACTTTAGTTTCAAACACACATAAATTTTTTAGCTAGGATGAACAGCCAGCACAAACAGCTGTTTTTACTGAAACAGTGAGGACTAAAACAGAAAAAATGACCTTGCAGCAACATATTAGGCTGAATATAACACTTTTGTTTTGTTTGCCATTTTTCAACCTAGTCTTCAGGAATGGCTCCTAGGATGGCAAACTTTGGATCTTCAGGAATTTAAATTTTTTTAATATATTTAGGAAAATGTTACTCCAGAAGGGGTTAATAATTGGACAAGACTAGAAAACATGAGTGTGATTCCCAACATATGCACCACCGACCACCACCAAATATATGAGCTTTCATCTACATTTCAGTTGTAGACCAAAGACATTTTCAGAGATGGATAACAAATCAAAAAATGAAGCAAAGTTTAAAGTGGAAAGTAACAGAATGAGGAAAATAGCGTAAAGCATTTTAAGACCTTGATATCGTTTTTTTTTTTTTGTTTGTTTGTTTTTTTTTTTTTTTTTTTTTTTTTTGCAGTAATTATATTAACTGACGGCTTTCTATACTCATGTTTGCTTAAAAAGCAGACTACTTTCAGCACGTTTTCCTAATAGAAAACTCTGAGTTTATCTGCTGGCGGAACAAGATAGGTTTAAAACTAAAAATAGAAATCATGCGCCACAAAAGAACTGTTGTAATTACTTAAACTGAATCAGCTGTGAGATTCAATGACGTGTCGAGTGAATACAGAGACATTTATAGCATCACGTTATCGCTCCTGCTCGACCTAGGCAAGAAAGCCGGCAAAACTACATCTGACTCACACTGTTAATGAAACACTGAGCGAGCATGAAACGACAGGACAAATGACACGTTTCAGTAGCGACGTGTTTCCTTCACCTGTAGGCTTTTTGACAGGAACTACGTCCACTTCGACTGCGGGCGCCGCCATGTTTTCTCCCTTCCAAACAAGAAGCACGTGAGCGACAGAAAGGCGAATCCAATCGCTCGAAGAGGAAAGGCGCGACAAGATGAGCGTCGAGCTCATCGATGGCACGGTGGCGGGACGGGAGGAGAATACCAGAGCGCAACTTACGTTCTTCTTCTACGGAGCGCCGTCCAGTTTCGTCGAATCGTCTGAGACGATATTTAGCTCGAACCGTTCGCCCTCACAAAACCGAGACACACCCAAGAAAATGTTTAGAAAGGCAGCAACATTTTCGACAAGTGTTAGAAAACAAAAATAAGAGGGACATGAAACAAATAATAATAAAGAAAGCAATAGCCTATAGCATGTGATGAAAGTGCAACAAAAAGATTGTAGCTGATATACTTTTGCCCAGAATTTTCTCAGCTTTATTAAAAAATAAAAAATTTTTATTCCGTTGTAATTGTTACGTAATAACTCCCATTTAACGATGTCCAACTCTTCTTCAGCCCCGAAAAAAATAAATAAATAAAAAATACACAAACAGTCGAAAAATCAAAGTGAATGTTATCCAACAAATGTAAAATAAATTATATATAGTAAACGATACATAAATTATTATTATTATTATTATTATTATTATTATTATTATTATTATTATTATTATTATTATTATTATTATTATTAATGATATTTTTTTTTTTTTCCATGTGTCAGGCGGACCCTCCAGAGTCAGATTATATGCGTCCCAGGCTGGTGCAGACAGGGACACTTGGCAGTGGAGAGGGATGGAGCAGCGCGCTGCCCTGTGGAGGGGCTGAGGCGGCATCACTCTTTCCTTCCTCTCATAGGCGCGCAGCGATCTGATCTATAGTTGGAGACCGACGAGAGATCTTCCCAGATAAGGTGTCAGAAATGTAAGCAGAGGTGAGAGCCGGTGGGGTAAAAAAAAGAGCGGGATCTTTTGAGAAAGGCGACGGAATCAAAGTCCACATCATCAGGGATGATTTCTGAGGAGTCATGCGCTCGTAATCTGACATCAGAGGCGAGATGTGAATCCAAATAATGTATGGTAATCACAGATTCGGACGACTGTGATGCGATTTTGGATGAGAATACGGGGCATGGCCGTCTGACATTTAACAGCTTCTTTCATTTGGATTTTGTTGGTGGTGGTGCTGGGGTCTGACTTGACCACAAAAAAAAAGAAGAAGAAGAAGAAAAAAAAACTGATCTGCAAGCCTGTGCGGTCATTCGGGTCTGGAAGGAGTTGGCTGGGCGAGGGGGATTCTGCTGTGCGTCCTGACACGCCAGACTTGGGAGAACCGATTTATTTGCAGCGGTTTCACAGCGACTGTCTGACCCCTCGTTTGCAACCTCCCAGTGAGGTGTGTCGGACGTTTATCTTATTTTTTATGTTGTCTCAGGAGAAAGGAGCTTATTGTTTTTTGGGGGGTGTTTTTGGTCAAACCCCCAACCCCCACACGGGAGTCTGCGCGGCTCCGTGCCGAATCCACGGGAGCGCACGGAGAACCAGAGGAGTGACAGCCGGACATTCTTACACCTGACCAGACCCACCACTAACCAGACCCCGCCACCCCCTCCAACACACACACACACCCCTCCGGGGAATCTGCTTCCGATCGACTCCAAAAAGTGAAAGGCGCAAGTTTCAAAAGCCTGGAATATACGACTCGATGAGACGCGCAGGACGCAGGACCAAATAGCGCACATACAGACACAGACCTGCAAAATGTTCAAACGGGGTAAGTCTCAAGTTTTGCTCCAGATTCAGTCTCTCTCCCTGCAGGGTGTTGAGATGATTTCTCTCCCCTCCGCACCTCTACACACATACACACACGCACGCACACGCACACACACACACACACACACACACACACACACACACACACAGCCACCCTCCTCTCCTCTCTGCGTGTTCTGTTTTGGTGTAATGCGTCCACTGCTTGCGCTCCTCCCGGCCACAACCAGATGTTTAAAATGAAGACCCGTTCGTCCTGAGGCACCGCCGTGCCCTGCAGGTTGTGTCGTTGCGCCATTTGAGGCGCGTCTTCAGTTTGCACAACTGGCTCCGTAGGTCTGCGGGAATTAAATATTCATCTGCGCGAAGATACACTGGGATGCGCTGTGATATTAATACAACTGATGCCGCACTGCAGTTTATGAGTTATGCACGGGTCACAAAGCTATTTCAACCAGCGTGTTGTACTCTCTCTGTTTTTGTTATATCTGGAGGGTGGGGGGGCGGAGGGGGGTCGCAGATTCCCCTCCAAACCTCCCATGAAAAAACAAAAAAGAAGAACTTTTAATATCCATATCCCTCGGATAGATTCACATGAGATCCCATTCTTCCTTGATGGCTTTTTTTTTGGTCCCGAGTAGTGTCTCTTTCATTCTGTGCTTTAATTGGCCATATGAGCTGCATAACTATCTCCACTGTAGGAAGAGTATTAAAAAAAACTCTAATGAGAATGAATTACAGTACTACATGCCCCCACTGCGCAATTATTAGGGAGTTGAAATAAGAGCGAAATTAAACTGTTTCTCATTTTTGCTGCGTCTTCTTGATACCCCTAGGGGGGGGTGAAAACCTGGAGATATCAAGGATCCACTTCAGCAGCCACTGCGTTTGGTCTTTCTAGTGCTCAACATGCAGAGCTACCTGCTCCTTTGTTGTTTTTTTTACACATGAGGTTGAAGCTGCATACACCAGTAAAACCATCAGAGATGCCTCTGAAAATGCAGTGAAGCTACTAAACCTGAACATGTTTGTATAGAGCATGTGATGCATCCTTTTTTTTTTTTAAACTGGATGTTACTAGTTAAAATGTGAAAAGTGTGACTGTAATGGACAGCGGCAAGAAATGTGAGTATTGTCAGACACTGAAACTTTTGCCCATTAAGTTCAGTCACATTTGATGGAGAACATAAGCAAAGAGCAATTTCCAAGTCTGCCGAGAGGTTCTCCATTGGATTCAAGTCTGGACGAATCCATAAACATGTTTGGAAGATGAATGTCCATCCTAGTTTAGAGTATTTTAGCAGCCTTGAACAGATTTTCCTCCAGGACTGATCTGTTTCCTAGAACCCTGTTGAAATACAAAAAAAATGCATCTCTGCAGCATGATACTGCCATCACTTTTTACCACACAGAGGGTATGTGTCAGTTTTCCCCTGCACTTAGCACTTTGAATGACCAAAAAAAAAAAAAAAATAAAAACATTTTGCTCTCAACCAGACCACAGAACATTCCCGAGGGTGTTTTCACATTTGATCGTTCAGTGGACTCGGTTCTATTGGGATCTAGAATTGCAACATTTTGCAACGTTCAGCTGGTGCTGTTCGGTTTGGTAAAAGACAAGAGAACATATGTGTGCAAGACATGTATGTTTTGGAAGAACTTACCCAGAATACCCTGAGATGTTACCCCCGCTTCCTACTTTTGGAGCGGTTTCTCCTCTTGGCATTCGTGTTACGCATTCGAACCGCGCCGGAGTTCACTTCAACTGAATCGAGACCGAGGTTTTTAAGACAAACCAGAGTTTGATTACACATACCTCCCAAAACGAACCGGACTTTCTAGGCACACAAACCAGAGTTCGATTAAAGCGGACCAAGCAGGGCAGGTGTGAATTCACCCTTGCATGTTTGCTGGCTTTCACTCTGCAAATGGAACTCCTTATGCCTTTCTATAAACATTGGCTTTCTTCTAACCACTTATCCATAAAGAGCATACTTGTGGAGTCCATAACTAAAACCTTATAGCTTATTAAGAGATTCTTCCATCTGACCTGTGGACCTCTGAAGCTTTTCTAGAGTTATTGGGATCTGCTTCTCTGCAACCCATTGGCAATCTTACCTGTTGGTATGGGTGGGCAGCAATGTCTTGATTAGCGTGTAGTGGCTGCAAAGGCTTTTAATTTTTTTGAATGATGGATTAATCAGTGCTGATGATCAACTGTGAGATGTTCAAAGAGTGTTAGATTGTTTTATAACCTAACTCTGCTTTATATCTCTCCACAACTTCATCCCTCATTTGTTCTGGTCTTCATGCTGCCATTTGTTCTCAAATGGTTTTTGCCAAAACCTCTGGCACCATCACAAGTTTTTAATAATTAGTCATCTGAAGGCATTTGGTTTTACTTAGTGGGATCAGGACCGCGAGCCGATCCTGGATCGGCGGAAGAAAATGGATGGATGGATGGATGGATGGATGGATGGATGGATGGATGGATGGATGGATGGATGGATGGATGGATGGATGGATGGATGGATGGATGGATGGATGGATGGATGGATGGATGGATGGATGGATGGATGGATGGTATCAGGCACTCATGAAACGTTTTTTGGATTTTTATGTGCAATACAAAATTAAGAATTTGCTTCATTTCTCCTTCACTTCACAGACAGGCACCACCTCGTACTGAGCTCTCACCTTTGATCAAAATAAAATTGAGTAAAGGTCACGGCCGACAAAATGTAAAAAAAAAAAAAAAAAAAAAAAACAAGGTAAACTGGTGTAATTACCTTTGCAAGGCTGAAAGATACATCTTCAGCGCAGTTCGACTTAAAGTACCCATGAACTATAGTGTTTGTATTTATTCAGGGTCTCCGGTGACAGAAACTCTTCTGTTTGGATTGTGTTTGTTTTTGCCGAGTGGCTGCAGGGCGAGGGAAATCATGTTGGGTTTTTATTCCCCTCACTGCCATCAGATTGATTATTGTTGTTCCAACAGCTGAGATGAAGTACATCTTAGTGACGACTGCTTAAAGCAAAAACACCTTGGAGAGGTTATAATGCTGCTTTGTCAAAACTTTGTACGAGGCAAAGGAAGTATGGAAAACACCACAGCTTCACAGTATCCGGGTATTGGCAATTATAAAAATATACAAAATCTCAACGTATAAAATGATCTAATTGGCTTCATTTATGAACAACTTGCAAAACAGCTTCTCAGAAATACTTTTAAAACAGGATTACCTTTGTAGGAGAGATGGCTGGGGTTCCTTTTGGTTTCCCCATCTTGAGTATAAGAAGTTTT